ACTAGCCTCAAACTCCTGGCCTCAAGTGATTTTTCCTTCTTGGCCTCCTAAAGCCAAGGAATTATAGGTATGAGCCTGTGTCTGGCCTCTGCAGGAAGTTTATTGAGGAATTCGTTGAAAACCTACACCTATGAGGGAGAAGGGAGCAGAATTGGATAGAAGGAGTTGTTGAATTGTGGAGCAATTACAGCCTCTGAGGATCCCACAGGAAGCTGTGAAGCTAGGTTATCCATTCAGAGTTGATCCCCTTGAGGCCAAGGTGGGGAACATCCCTTTACACTCCCTTATGGACCAGTCAATGAATGTAGCTGCCCCAGGCAGGGACCTGGGTTGATGCTTCTTTCTTCTGTTGAGAGCAGTTCTTGGCTAAGGACTTAAGCATCAGCCACCAATGCTCTCAGTTGTGGGGTCCTCAGTCCTGAGGGGATTCTGGGCCATATACTCGACCATTTACTACATTGGCTTCCCTCCCCTCCCTGTCTTGCTTCTTTACCCCCCTTCCTGTCCTATTAGCGTTATCTCCCAAATGTGCTACCTGCACCCAAATTCTTGTCTCAGGGTCAACTTTTAAAGGAACTTAAAAATAGGAACTATGTGGTCTGCATTTTTGTTTAAGAAAAACAATCTGGTAGTAATGTATACAGTAGATCAGAGGATTGACAGACTTTCCAAATAGACCAGAGAAGACATGATGCCAGTTGTCCAGGTGAGCAGGGTTAAATGAAGAGGACACCTAAGGGAAAATAAGAATAGACAGAGGTGAAATTGCTGCTAATAGTAGTAACATATGCAAAGAAGAGAAATGATGTGCAGGTGAGAGAGGTTAATTTGTTTTAGATATTTTCCACTTGAGGTGCTGGTATGCTCTCCAAATGGAGCTGTTCATCAGGCAGGTGGCTATTCAGTTGGGAGATGTAAATTTTAGAGTTAGGTATATGGCAGTGGCAGGGTTGATACAATGGAAGAGATTAGGAAAAAAACTGTCATGGGAGAGAGGACAGAAATGGAAACATCAACTAACAACCGTTGAGCATCTACAATGTTCCAGACACTAGGCTAGGCTGACCACAAGTCTGTAGAAAGACCCACATTTACAGGGTAAAAAAAAAAAAAAATAGGGCAGGTAGTCGAGAAGAGCCATCAGCAAAGGCAAATGCCAGATCCACCAGCTACAACCCTTCATGGTCTGCCCACTGCAGATATCACTAATCAATCATGATAGTTTTCTCCATAGAACTTGGACTTGCGTCAAAATTCTTCCCAACTTCACGCTCCAGGAAGCGATTCTAAATCATCAGATTTAGCCCTTGACAGAAAAACTCTGCTATCTTATCTCAGAGAAGCCAAGAGAAGCAAGACTTGCACAGAGAAAAGGGTGTGAGAGCCATGTTCAAAATAAAAGAGGCAGAAGAAAAGGCCTGTAAAAAGCCCCCTGATCTGAGTAAATAGGAGATCTTGTGGAGAGGGATGGGGATGTTTGAGGAGAGTGGCAGGGCAGCAGTCAGAGTGTAGGGCTGTGAGCAGATTCTGACACCCAGATGCCTGCCAGGGGGAGCACTGTGCTGGGAACCCGGAAGCTTAGGCTGTAATTGCTGAGTTCCTTGTAGCACACTGTGAGGCTGTAATCTATATCCTGAGAAATAAAAACAATTAGACTTCAGGAAACACTTCAAAATTACACTCATTCTGTGGATAAAATTTTGCTTAATTTTCCAAGTCTGTTTTAAGGATACAATAAGCAGTGCATCTCTAAACACATTAGATTGGCCCAGATGCAGGGAGAATTTTGTTTGCATATTTTACAATCGCGTTTGGTAGACATTGGAAAGACTTCACGAAAAAAATTATATGTCCTCAATGCAAGTGGCTGCTGAAGTTGGAAAAAGCATTTGTCAATGCAGAACAAGATCTTCTGATTCATGACATATGACATCAGAAACGACCGATAAAACCAGAGATGACTGAGGGATGGCTGGGGCAGAATGAACCCTGCAAGGGGTCAGCCCCAGGAATCATCCCAGCTCTGGCTCTAACTTGGGTTTGACCTTGGGCAAGGTGCTTTGCTTCTATAACCCTTTGTTTCCTCACCTGGAAAATGAGAGTCCCAGCCCTGGGCATTCTAGGTGAGAGAAAGTCTCTGATTCATGGACAGCCAACTCACTGTTACCCCCAAATTCATCAGGCTGAGACCTCATCAATAATTTATATCCACCTGCAGGGCAGCTAGACATAGAATCAAGTTTCCCCTTCTCGTTCTGCTTCCAGTTGAATTCAAATTCCCTAGTCCCTGCCTTCTAATAACACCACCCAAAGTGTGTACGTTTTAGAAGTCAGAGTTGATGACATCTATGGTGCTTTCAAAACCCAGCATTTCTAGGAAAGGGACCATGAATATTAATTAAGTGCTGGCAGCTCCCAGCACTCCTTAGTATTCTAAAAACTATGCAAACTCCCTCGCACTGTGTGCCCCTGAGGAATTTGGATGTACCTGCCGATCTGGTTACTGTATCAATTGGGCCACATCCAAAGGCCACAACACTCTGCTTTCTGCATTTTAAGTGCATTCTTACTGAAAATGTCGATGACTATTTAAATAAAGAATTAAGCAAACTCTTGGCCAAAACTATTAAAGTCAATGGGTAAACTTGAAAATGTAAGAGTCATATCTGCCCCTAAGTGATAAACCAGAGACTGGTGTTTCACACTGGGTCATGCATTTCTACAAATGTTGGGCAATGAGTAGCTGTGGAAGGACAGAGCAGGTCAAGGGGGACATGTCTAGGCTCCACCAGAAATGAGCTTCTTTCAGAGGTGATCTTAGCCCAGGGATGGGAAGACTCTCGGCTCTTGGGCTCCTGGACATGTCTGCTGCTACTTTGCTCTTTCCCCTCCTGTTTCCATGATCTGCTTCCTACCTCCATGCCTCAAAGGGTGGTATTCTTCCAGTCTGTACCCTCTCAAGGGTGGTGCTTCTTTAGACTGTGCCCTCTCCAAAGGGTGCAGCTTCTCCAGACCGTGTCTTCTCCAAAGAGTGGTACTCCTCCAGACCATGCCCTCTTCCCTCTCATGCCTACCAGGGGACCAAGTCCTGTCCGAGCCACTTCTCTTCTCCCCCACTGTCACCTTCTCTCTACCTCAACTGCCGCTGCCTTAATGTGGGCTTTCATCTTTCCCACCTGGACTATTTCCACAGAATTACTGATTGCCTTACCAACCCTAGCTCGCCCTTTCCATGCAGTCAGGATTTTTCTCAAATGAAAATCACATCATGGTTGTCTCCCTTGCTGGTGTCTCTTCTTGACTCTGCAGTTGAAGTCCTTCATTTCCAACTCCAGGAACTTCTTGCCTCTTCTTGTGGCTGTTGCACACCTCTTATGTAGTCTCATAGGCTGCTACCTCTTTCTGAAGAGCCTCTTCCTTTGTCCGTCTAGTGGGCTCTTATTCATCCCTCAAGACCCAATTCAAGTTGCACTTTCTTCATAAAGACAACTTTCTCCCTAGTCATCATCCCTTCTTTACAAGCCACACTGTGTGCCTTGTTCTTACCTCTTGCACTTAATGGGATTTCTTATGCAGTTGCAGTCAGAGAGCAGCTGGAACTGGAATCATCTGAAGACTCACTCACTCATATGTCTGGTACTTGGGCTGGGAAGACCTAACTGTTGGGCAGTTACAGGCATCTCTTTCTCTGTGTGTCTGCATATCAGAGTAGAGTGGTTCCTTGTATGGGAGCTTAGGCTGCTGAAGGCACAACGAGAGACAGAAACAGAGAGAGAGAGAGGAGAGAGAGAGAGAGAGAGAGAGAATATGAACACACAAGAGAGAACCTTCTCAATTTTTCTGCCCCCCCACCCCTCCCTGCAGAAGTCATAGGATGTTCCTTCTGTAATACTCCATTGGGCCAGGCAATTGCAAAGGCCCACCCAGGTAAAGGGCAGAGGATGTAGACTTCACCTCTTGATGGAGGAATGGCAAGATTCTGGAATAGCATGAGGGTCTGGACATATTGTGAGCATTCTGGAAAATACAGTCTGCTGCTTCTTTGTTAACAAGGTTTTGTCCTACTGAGAGCTCTTGGTGATCAGCACTCCGTGTAACAAGCACCCTCCTGAATAGGACTTCTGAATCTCTATGGCAAATGGCCTTTGTTGTTGAAAAAGGCCACCCAGAGTCACCAAAGATCCCTGAGCACCTGCTGAATCACCAGAGAGGTTGAGATTCTCCAGAGTCACCCATGGATGCTGTTCAGGTGCTCATTACTTGGAATGGAAGGAACCAGCTCCCAAAGGCTCCCACTGGGCTCCCAATCAGTTATGCCACAAACTTGCTGGCCTTGGGCCATCAGTGGGCTGCAGGCTCCCCGTATAAACATCAGCACTGACCTAAATCCTGCTGGTTTAGGCACTCTGTGATTTGACTGGTATCAACAAGATCCTGTCAAGTCCCCAAATTTACCATAGCGATGTTTGCTCCCCACCTGGACTGTGGATTGTCTACACCACCTTTCCTGGGTGGAAACTGGAGGAACCACATGCCTGCCAGTCATAAGCACCAGGCCTGAGTAGAAGAAGGGAGAAGTCCACCCAAGGCAGAGGAATATTTAAAGGGAGACAGGTATGGAGAGAGGAGGTAGAGAAAAGGCAAACTAATTAAAAAGTGGTTGAAGGTGGCATTGGCTCCAGATCCAGGGTAGTGACCTCAGCCGACCTCCTTAGCAAGATAAGGAAGATTAAATAAGCCTTGTGTCAGCTTGTCCCCCAGCCCCCACCCCAAGGCAGGTGTTTCCCTGTCTTCTCAGGGTACAGAATTTAGCATAACTACACAAACTTGACCAGGCCAAAGTACCCCATGCAGAAGACCCACAGGTGGTCGAAATTAAATCAGAATTTTTATGTTATTGATTTGGCTTGATACTTGTCCCATTTGGTTGAAAGGAGGGGTATATTCTTCTGCTGTGCAAATGATTAATAAGAATTTAAATGCTGGTCGGTCGGCCAGGCATGGCGACACGGAGCCTGGCCGCAGCAGTGCCTTTGCTCGGCGGGAGCTGTGGCTTCCTCTTCACTGTGTGCTTGGGATGTTTGCCTCCCAGACTGAGCGGGAGCTCAAAGTGACCCAAATTCTCAAAAAGTTTTCTTGAGCTATGGCTATCAAAGTCACCGACATTTCGGGAAGTTGCAGGGTGATGTATGAAATTAAAATTGAATCAGAAGAATTTAAGTAGAACTGTTCAGCAGCACCAGATGGCTAATTAGGCACTAAAAGAAGAAATCGCCTGTAATCCCGTGCCTTGGGAGGCTGAGGTGAGTGGATTGCCTCAGCCCACGGGCTCGAGACCCACCTGGGCAACTTGGTGAGACCTCATTTCTACAACAAATCAAAAAATTAACCGGGCGTGGTAGTGTGCGCCTGTAGTTCCAGCTACTTGGAAGGCTGAGTGGAAGGATCGCCGGAGCCCAGTCGGTCGAGGCTGTGGTGGCCGGGAGTGCCACTGCACTCCAGTCTGGGTGACAGAGTCAGACTCCAACTCA